CATGTCAACTGGCAAGTATAGAACTGTGAGAAGATTCTAGAGTAACTAGGGCTCTGCTAGCTAGCAAATCTGCCTTTCATTCCAAAGGTAAAAACAGCTGTGTGCTCACTGCATGGTGAGGTCAACTATAAGCATGTTTCCACACAAGGGCTCCTCCTCCCCATGCTCAGGAAGGAAGTCAGCACAGGAACTCAAGCACATCAGTAACCTGGAGCTGATGCAGAGGCCATGGAAGATGCTGTTTACTGGCTTGCTCCCCATGGCTTGCTCAGCCTACTTTCTAACAGAACACAGGACCACCAGCCTAGGGACTGCACTATCCACAATGGGCTGGACACTTCCCAATCAATCACTAATGAAGAAAATGCTCTACAGGCTTACTTACAGCTAGATCTTATGGAGGCATCGTCTCAATTGAGGCTCCTTCCTCTCAGATGAAACTAGTTGTGCCAAGTGGACATAAAACACACTGATGAATCACCTTGATTGGATTAAACAGAAAACTGGATGAGTGACCTCTGAAGTGGGGGAGAACAGAAAGGAGCTGCCAGAGCTAATGTTCTGCTGGATTTAACTCCTAGGGTCAGAGCTGTTAGTACTTCTGTTTGATTAGGAAGTCTTTACCCCCAACACTTCAGGAGACTTTTAAATATTACATCAAGCTGACTAGGTGGCACAACCAACATCCAGACTAGCATGGGCTACACAGGAGATCAGGAATAGCAAGATGTTTGTCTGAGGTGCTAGGATGGGGGGACCCAGAGCTTTCACATACTTGGCCAGGTGTTCTACCCGACCTGCATCCCCAGCACCCTGCTTTCCATGCATGGTGACTTAACTGTTGCACGTATGTGGAAGTCAGAGAACACTGGGGATGTTCCCACCCATGGGGACTGAACTCAAGTCATCAGGCTCAGAAGCAAGCACCTTAACCACTTGTAGGTATTACTAGTTCATGAGTTATACCATCATTTGATGTTTTGCTGTGGAGACAGGGTTTCCCTATGTAGACCTGACTGGTCTGGAACTCTATGCAAACACTAGGTTAAACTTGCTTCCATCCTTCTGCCTCTCTGACCTAAGTCCTGGTATTATACTATGCACACAGTTGCTTTTGTTTTGGGAGAACACTGTCTCAAGTAGTTCAGGTTAGCCTCAAGTTCAGTAAATAGATGAGGTTCACCTTGCATGTTTTCCGTACTAAGTTTCTTTCTCCAGGAAGTGACATTTTCATAGTAATCACTAAAGCTGGGCACAGTGATATACACTTTTAGTATTAGCACTGGAAAGCAGAGGGGAACCTGCTCTACATAGTTAAGTACTAGGCAAGCGATCTAGTAAGACCCTTCCAGAAAGAAAAACAGAAAAAGAAAACCGATATTTTTTAGGCTTGATTGTTTTTCAAATATTTAATTACATTTGTCATGCTTGTGTGTGTGCACTTGTGCGCATGGATCATCATGTGTGTGTGTGTGTGTTTGTGTACATGGATCATCGTGTGTGTGTGTGTGTGTGTGTGTGTGTGTGTGTGTGTGTGTGTGTGCTTGTGCACATGGATCATCATGTGTATGTGTGTGTGCTTGTGCACACGGATCATCATGTGTGTGTGCTTGTGCACATGGATCATCAGGTGTGTGTGTGCTTGTGCACATGAATCATCATGTGTGTGTGTGTGTGCTTGTGCACATGAATCATCATGTGTGTGTGTGTGCTTGTGCACATGGATCATCATGTGTGTGTGCTTGTGCACATGGATCATCATGTGGGTGAATCTGTCACAAGGCATTACCTGGCTGCACCCAAAAAGACCACAATGCTTAGGGGTCAGTACAGGGCGTGGAGAGGAACCACACCAGGGATGATTTCAGGGGACAGCGTCGGCTTCACTGCATGGGAAGCCTACCAAGTAGGATTGGGTAGCATATCACTTGGATTGAAAAGAATGCATGTCAGGTTAGGCAGGGACAGCGAGGACGAGTACTAAAAGAGACTACTGGAAAGGGAGGTCATTTCGGGATCAGATAAACACCTGGCACAAGGAAACCTTCCAGGAATCTACGAGAATGAACCTAGCCAAGACTCCTAGTGATACTGGATATGTAGACTGAACTGGCCAGGTTGGTGCCTAGGCAAATTTTCAGAGAGGCATCATCTACCAACTGAAGGAAACAGATGCAGACCCAGAGCAAACATTAGGCGGAGTTTGGGGAATCCTGCAGAAGAGGGAAAGGAAAGATTGTAGGAACCAGAGGGGTCAAGGACACCACAAGAAAACTCACAGAGTCACTAACCTGGGCTCATAAGGGCCACAGAGACTAAAGCAACAACCAGGGAACCACATAGGACAGACCTAAACATTCTGCACATATGTGACAGTTGTGTGGCTTGGTCATCTTCTGGGACTCCTAAAAGTAGGAACTGGAGCAATTTCCAACTCTTTTACTTTTGGGCCCTTACTCCTCATACTGGGTGGCCTTGCTCAGCCTTAATACATGGGAGGTGCTTAGTCTTACTGCAACTTGATATGCCATGTTTTGTTGGTACTCATGGGAGACCTGCCCCTTCCTAAACAGAAACTGGGGGTGTGGGAAGGATGATTGGAAGTAGAAAAGGGAGAGGAAACTGTGGCCTGGATGTAAAATAAGTAAATAAAAGAAATGTGAGCATTCATACAAATCAGTAGAGTCTCTGTGTAAAAGCAGCTCATAAAAGGAGATGTGAAGAGTGCAGACACCTCAGCAGGCAGCTACTGGCTACACATGCTACTTTATAATTAAATGTTCTGACTTTAGAGAATAGTCAGGAGCATGGTGGGCCATGTTTGTTACTTAGAAGTACAGTGTGCTTGGTAAGCTGTGTGCCATAGTACACCTGTATTTATGCCTACAGTTCCTCCTCTATATCAATTTGCTTTTCTGAGAGCAGAGCCCCATAATGAATGACCTGATTATACCAACAAATATTATTACAATCAAAGAGATAATAGCATAGGTCAAGGAAAACCCGTACCACTGACACTAAGCTGGTGACAGCTCCCTCAGCTCCCTTACTGGAAATTCCTTTAAATATGTATCCCCCACTTACTGAAAATGACCCTGAAGCATGGAGTGAGATATCTGACAATCTATCTAATCTTAAATTCCCTCTTTTTCCTGATGAGGACTTCTGAGAACCTATGAAAATGCTAACTTTACAACATATGCAAGCTAGGGTTATGGCAGGAAAAAAGAATTCATTTACCAATTCTTTCTCAGCCTCATGAGATGTTTGCGGTATATCCAGTATTGTGTCTAATACGTAATTATGCATTAACCTATCTATTAAAACTCTAGAAGGAAGGACGGCATTCAACAGCCCTTCCACATTATCTTGAGAAAAAAAAAAAAAAAAAAAAAGGGAACTAGAGTTATTTGAATCCAGGCTGAAATAGGCTATTTATTTCTACATGAACTTACAAAGTAGGTGGAGTCACATACTAATGGTGATCATACAAAGTCTGGACAGTTACTGACAGCTCATGGATGGCCCCACCGTTCATATGATACTATTGTGACAACTTGTAAACAATTGATAGAAAGACCAGGAAGCAGAAGGTGATGGGTGGCTGAAGATGGCTTTCCCTTCCCAGAAGACCTTTCTGGAGTCAAGTATCTTCACATTCTGGCAATTTCAAAGCATAAGCTTATGTTTGTTTATAGCATCTTATTTGTGAACATACAGACATCTATGACAACCATGACCAAGAATTCTATAGTGACTCTTGCTCTTTTTGAGGGTGCACTGAGTGAGTGCGCTTTGGCTGCCAAGTTGTCATTATTAAGTAAAACCATCTTCCGGTGATACAGGCTCACCAGCTTGAGAAACCCACAGTGCCCTCAGAGAAGGCTCAGCTGTCAAGACTGTGTGCTGCTCTTGCAAGGACCAGAACCTGGTTCCAAATACTCAGGGTGGTTGGCTCATATGACTATAAAACTCCAGTAGATCTGACCCTTTTCTGGCCTAGGCAAGCACATATATTCATTCAGTGAATTTTTGAAGATTACTAGCATACCATACGAATTTATTTTTCTCATATAAATGATCCTCATAATTGAGTGCTTTTATATTGATAGTAGGATCAACTTTTAAATGTTCGAAAAGGTTAACCTGTTGTTTTAAAATCACAGAGATTTGATATTTGGATTTCTGGCTGGAGAGAAGGCTCAGCTGTTAAGAGCAGATACTGCTTTTGCAGGTAACTCAAGTTTAATTCCATACCTATATCAGGCAGAGAGAACCTGACTCAAAACCAAGCACACAGACATAATAAGTTATTCTGAGATGGATGGACTCTCACTACGAAGCACTAACTGGCCTACAACTCTCTAGGTACTGTTTGGGAAAGAATAAAAAGAGATCGAGCGAACCTAGGAGAAAACTTAGGAATAAAAGCACATCAATATAGTCAATTTTGACCCACGAGGCCAGGAAACCCAGGAGGTCTGGCCTCCCTGACGCAGGCGGCTGGTCCACCCCGGCATCTAGGTGCGGACGCTCCTGTCACAGACACCCCACCCCCCGCACAGCACCGCGCCGCCTGCAGACGGATCTGCACCTGGACGTTCAGTGCCAAGGGCGGGACTTGCACAAGACCGCAGAGAAAGCCCAGCTCTGCGACAACTCGGCAATTCCGCCTGCGGAGGCCACGGCGGGAGCGGCGCCTGCGCGCACGCTGCGTGGTGACGTCACA